GAAACATAGAAATTTTCCTTCCATCGCCACTGTAATTGTAGTTGCAGTTGTACATTAATCAGCGATGGACATACATTGTGTATAGCTGATAAACTTCCATTAGCATTAAAAGTGTATTAATATTTTTTGTTTTCTTAAGGTATTTTCTTCGTTTGCATCTGCTGCAATAAAAATGCAAACTTCCAAGACTTTCAAGATGAATAGACATGGACTAGACGGGGATAACAGTTCTGACAGTCCAGAGTTTTATACTGGACAGCTCCTTAAAGAGGCAATGCTGAATCTTGGCCCAACTTTTGTGAAAGGTAGGATGGATAATTTATTTAAACAAGTCAATTCTCTTTACCAGTATTAGCCAAAAGTTTACAGCTTACTTTAGTTCTGCCACATGGGATTTACACATTTAGATTCTTCATTGCAGCCACTGAATTTCGAAAATTGCTAGTGACATGCCTTTACTTGCTAATGCAGTTGGGCAGTCGCTCTCTACCAGGCCGGACATAATTGGGTCAGACGTTTCCAAGGTCAGGCGAAAGAGTTCCTAAGACTGTCTTTTCATCTTTTTCAGTCACAACTTCAATGTTTGGACTTATAAGTATATATGAGCATTCCACCTTGTGATACAAATAATTTATGGAGATAATGTGCTTACACTTTGTGTAAGCAATTAACCAAATAACTTAAGGAATGAGCGACTGTTTATGTACTTGCTTGTTGTTTTCATATCTGTATCAGATGTAGTTGTTCATGCAATGTCTAACTGGTAATAATCTATTTATTTATCTCCATTGTGTGCTCAAATGTCATCTACAAAATTTATCATGCAGTACTTGGTTTGTTATAAGTTTTATTTTTGATATTTTTCTTGCATGAGAAACAGCAGAGAGTTCAATTTTGCATTATTAGATAAACACAGATTTTTTTATCATACTACATATAAAAGAGGATTGCCTTGTCAAAATTTTTGATTTCCATTTTTGCCCTTTTAAGTTGATAATTCTCAAATATGTCATTAGTTGTAGTTAATCATTCACTAATTATATATAACCTCATATTAGTTATGCATTTTCTCACTTATTCAAACATTTGGTCACACTATTATTTTATTATTTAATTATGTTATTTAATAGAAATTTGAAATTCATCTATAATTTATCTTCACATAATATTTAAAAATCCTAGAAAAATTAAAAATAATAAAACTTCATTAGGCTTATGCCTTATGAGTTATGCCTTTGGGTTTCACCTCTTATGGGGGACTGCATATTACCTTTCATCTTATTAGCCTTTTAAAAGTATGATAATAGTATGAAAAATAATTTGTATTTATTGCAATTGTAATAGTATTAATAGTATAATGATTTTAATAGTATTTTTTAAATAAATACATTACACTATAATTTAATAACTATACAATTTAGTAAATTATTTACTAATAGTGTAATAAACTAATTATGAAATTAAAATGTAGTTACTAATAGTATTATAACTATGCTATGTATAATATTATTATATTTAAAAGAGAAGAAATTATTTAATATATTATAATTATTTTAATGAATTATGAATAAATTATAACAATTATCCAAACTATAATAATTATCCGTACAGTTCTTTATACACAGTTTTATCGTACAATTTATTCATTTAAACAAAATTGTAACCATTCACATTTTATATTGCTATATAAGTCATTTTATTATTTTGCAGCCAATAAAAAAATTTTAAAAATATAAAACAAAACTGATATGCTCTCGTGCAAAGCACGTGCGCTATACTGGTATGAAAAGCAAGGATATACCGCTTTTACCCTGTGCTTAACATGATCAAGGCATTGCAAACATCCTGATACTACGCGAAGATCCTACTTTGTGTTAATTTGATTTTTTTTAAATTGCTCTCTTTTCTAGTCCTCTCTGACTTTGTTAGTATGTATACAAGTATATTAATATTTTTCCATCTTTGTTGTGAACTTATAGAAATTACTGTCTTCTTTATTGTAGTAAAATTCCTTTGTCATTCAAAGTTGTGACTCTGGTTTCTGAATCATTTTGGTTTTATTTTTTTATTTGTAATTTGTGCTATGACTATCACCACAGGCTCTTTCTGAGTTGCATGATAAAATTCCTCCATTTCCAAGGGAAGTCGCAATGAAGACAATTGAGGAGGAATTCGGATGCCCAACAAAGAGCATCTTTAGCTACCTTTCCGAGGAGCCTGTCGCTGCTGCTTCCTTTGGCCAGGTAATTTGAATTTGAGAATTTTCATACTTTTAGCATCGGCATGTACATGTTCATTAAATTCAATAAGTGTAACATTATTTAATTTCTGAAAGGATTTTTTAAAATTGCAATATTATACAGACATTTTCTTTTGTAGCTCAGGTTTATCGTGGCTGTACACTTGATGGCTCTGTAGTGGCTGTAAAAGTTCAACGTCCAAACTTGCTCCATGCGGTTGTACGAGATGTTTATATTCTCCGTCTTGGGGTTTGTATTCTATGTCTTTTGGCTTGCATGTTAGTTAATATTTTTTTGTTCTTCTGTCTTATAATTTGTACTGACATAGCCACAAATAAATTTTTTTCCCTTCGATGGATCTGTTTGCAACTAAGTAAATTGGTGATGTATAGCAAGTTACATATTCTTGGTTGATTAGTGATCATACAAAAACCATGTGGCCATATATCTTCTTTTGATTAATTATCTTACGTGCACTTAAGTGATGTTTCTGCTTCTCTACTCTAATCATTTGTTGTCTGATGGTGAAGGAATAACTTCTATGAGGTTCGTTTTTTTCGCATTATGGTTCTCATTCTTGTATGAAGATTGGCATTGTCCTTGTGAAGTCTCTTTCTCTCTTCAGAGCTTATCAGTATTTTTTTTTCTCCTGGTGCATATTACTCTTTTATACATATTAAATACCTAGAACTCCTTAGGGAAACTTCAGATATGATAAGTAACACAATATCTACTGCATACTTATCCCAAAAATTATACCTACTTCTTAAAGTCCTTGCCACTACATCAAAACTTTGAAGTTAAGGTGAGGGTTTAGGGCTATGTTGCATTGGTACGGGTATAACTGGTATGAGTACGGGTATGGGACACGGTAAATTTGTAAAAGATAGGGTATGGGGACATGGCTAAATGTAATAATATTCATAATTTATGATTTTAATAGTATGAAAAATCATGTGTTTTTTATAATGTTCTTTTTTTTCTCTTACAAGTATTTTAACTTATTTTCCAAATACCTATAAAATCTGTTTTTTGATAATGCTTTTCCCCTACAAGAAGAAAAAGAAGGGAAAATTTAGCGTAAAAAATAAAAACTCCCATCAACTCTCAAAAAATAACCCTTTTTAGGCCCCATGTGCTTGTCACAGGGGTTGTGATATCATCATCACAGGCCAACAGCCAAGAAATAGAAAGGCATCATGTGATACCCTCTTCCCCCACAAGAACAGACTCATCTTCTTCTGAACAACCACAAGAGCCACTGGTTTTCTTCTTCCTTGAGACCCAAAAAGTATTATGTTGTGTCCCTCCAGTTCAGGTGCGTACCCGTACCCGAAATGTGTCGGACACAGGTACGGAGTCCTAAATAATGTGTCGGGGTATCCTAGGTTTAGGGTTATAATTTCGTACTCTAACATACCCCAGCAAGTTGAGGGCCCTTTCATGAGCCGAAGCCTGGACTCACGGAGCGGTATCTCTTTTTAATCCACTTTCGAGATTTATGGCAAGAAAATTTCTAACCTGGGTTGTTCTGATACTGATACCATCTTAAAGTCCCTACCACTCCACCAAAACTCTAAAGTTGCAGTAAAGGTTGAGGGTTATAATTTTGTATTTCCAACACATCCATAACCTGTGTTTTTTAGCCATAAGAGTATGTGTGATGTCTTGTATCTCTTAACCATCCTCTAGATGGTTACTTATGAACATATCATATTCATTTTGCTTCTCTACTTCAGTAGCTACTAGCACAACTTTTAGTTGCATTAGTTGAGTTCCTGTTTCATGTAAAACCTCTGCGTGAAAAAAGAAGCATACACTATAATAGCCTACTTCTTATGAAGGAAATAAACAAGAGATTAATCTTTGCTAACAATCTAATAAATTTGGCCTCGGAGTGTTTTCTTTTGGAAACTGAGTCCTATCTTTAAGTAACTGTCTTTCAAGGTTGTGCTTCTATCCATGGAAGTGACCATCAGGTAAGGGCGTAAGAGATCCGAACTTCAGAGAGCAATCCGTTAAATTCTGCTTGAAACTCAATAGGCCAGGCTCAAGCTCGGCTTGTTTATATTTTGAGCTTAAGTTGGTCGGCTTGTGTTCAGCTTGTTTTTGACTTCCAAATAATTGAGTCGGGCTTGTTATATCCCGAAAAGTGTAATTTAGCAGTAGATGAACCGATAACTAGTGTTAGTGTATTGAGCTCAATTCAGCTCGATGCTGATTAATAAATTCACATAATTATTACAAAAATCGAGCAGATAAAATTAGAGAGTTTTGTATAAAAATAATAAATCAAATGATTAATTATTGGGTTATGCATTATTATATTATCATATATTCCTGTTTCAGACATCACGCAAACATAAATGCATCGAGCTTATTTGAGCCAACCATGAGTGAGCAAGATTCAAGTTCAGATCGTTAGTCAAATTTAGGCTCGAGTTCTTGTCTTGCTATTGAGCAAGGCTAAACCAAGATATGCACTAAGTCAAACATGAATCAGACATGAACTGGTTTCGAGCAGCCTCTCCATTTGACATACCTATTCTCGGGTACATAATGTTTTTTGAAAGATTTTATGCTACACTTATTAATATTAAAACTGATACTGTTTTCGATGTGTGACTCCAATTTCAAGTATCTTGAGTGTCCTCAAATTGTTGAACATGGAAATATTCTGAAAACTTTGATGTGGGAACACGCCTTTATTTGATAGATGAAAACCTTTGAAAACTATGATGTGGGAACTGGTCGATATCTTATAGGTGCACATTCAAAAGTTCACTGGACAATTGATCCCTAAAGTAGTTAATATTTTTATTTAACCTAGACTCTGTATTTAAGTAAAAAAAAAGTATCATTCAATTGAATGACACTATTGTAATTTACTGCTTGAAGTATTATCTGTGGTTCATCTGAAGTGTCCTCAACTGTTGAAATAAACATTAAACATGAAAGCTGAAGTGTTAGGTGGCTCTGTCCATGGGCCATGCTCTAGAGAATTACTTTGGCTGCTGAAACTCCTTTCTGGAACATTGTTTGCATTCTGGATATTCTGAATATATACCCTACTTTGGTTAGATAGCGGGATTTGTAACTTGAGGGAGCTAGAATTTTCCTTATCGCTATTTCTGTCAAAAACTTCAGTTTGAAATTGGTCATCTGATTCGGTGTTCCTTTTTTTTTTCCCTTCTTAAATTGACAGCTGTCACTTTTGAGAAAAATGGCAAATAGAAAGAGTGATCTTGCTCTCTATGCTGATGAGCTTGGCAAAGGTCTAGTTGGTGAGTTGGATTATACGTTAGAAGCTACGAATGCTACCAAATTCTTGGTAATTAAGCAACTTTTTTAAGGCAGATTTCTCTTGTGCTATATATTGTGTTTTAACAGTTTTTTTCGTTAAACCATCTCATGCTTATTACTATTATATGCAGGAAGCCCATTCCCAATATTCATTTATGGTTGTCCCAAAAGTATTTAGACATTTAACCAGGAAGAAAGTCCTGACAGTGGAATGGATGGCAGGTGAAAGTCCCAGCGACTTATTCTTACGGGCAGGAGGATTTGGTAATGAGAAAATTCACTACTCACAGAAGCAACAACTGGAGACAAAAACACGTCTTCTTGATTTGGTAATGCTTGTAAAGAACTTTCTGTTCAGGTTTTCTTACTTTCATTTTCCTTTGAAATATCTCAGTGAAATCTAACATGGTTCAATAGAATGATTTGTGCCTTTTCTCCTACATGTTTGTTTCCCTCTTTGGATAAGAATGAACCTAATTTTTGTTATATTCACCATGCTGAATAAATGTTTTGCGATGACCACATTTGTACACATATGAAATTTGACAATTTTGATATTTTCTTGTCTTAGATGGATCACATGGATGCCAAATTGACACCCTTGGTAAAATAGCATGAACATCCTATGGACATTGATTATAGATTGCAATATCACATACAATTCATTCCAAATTCTGTTTCACTTCTTATTTGTAAAATTGGTGTATCAAGATGCATACACAGCATAAAGTTGTCGAAGTTCAGGAAGCAGTCAATCAGAGTTTAAAAGAACTAAAGTTGATACTTTCTTTTTCAGGTTTATACTACTAAATTCAACCTCAAACCCCAAAATTGAGTCCCTTGGCTGGTAACATGAAATTTAAGGACATCAAAATTCACAGGAACTTCTATTACAAGTCATGGAACTTCTATTACAAGTCACTTAGGGGCTGTTTGGTTAATTTCCTAGACACCCAAGAAAAGGAAAGAGGTTGAAGAATTCACCAGTCAGCCAATAGGACGGTGCTACCTCATGCTCCTTATTGGTTTCCAAGTGGGAACCAAACACAAGAAAGAAAAGCGTTATTGGAAATGATTTCCTGTAATGCACTTTTCTAGTTTTTTGGGGTAACCAAACAAGCCTTAAATGAGTACACACTTCAGCTTACTGTATTGTCAACTTTTCGAGGATTCAAGAGATCACCTAGATTTAGCTAAAACCTGAGAAGCATATTTGATTTTATTTGAGTTGCAAAAATTGGTGTAACCCTCATGCTTGCTTCAGTTTGAGCTACAGTTTGCACACTTGTTAAGTTGTTACACTTACCTATTAAGGAATTGGTTCTGGTCTAACTGGATCTTTAATTTCTTTTAGCATATTCTGATGTTGAATTTGACTAAACTATTATATGAAGACCAAATGACCAATTGCAATGTCTTTTCATGTTTGTGTGGTTTCAAGGTTAATAAGGGAGTCGAAGCGTCACTAGTTCAACTACTTGATACGGGCTTACTGCATGCGGATCCACATCCTGGCAACTTGCGCTATACACCTGAAGGAAAAATTGGGTATGGGAAAGAGCTACATTGCTTGTTATATACTAAGCAATTAGCATTTAGTTATATTTCTGGAACTAGGAACATTTATCAGTAGCGGAAATGCTAAGGGACTGTTTCTAGATGCAATATGTTTTACATTAGTTTCAGTTTGCTAGATGCAATGAATCTTTATGTCCTTTATTAGTTTCAGATTGCTAGATGCAATGTATGTATATGTCCTCTACTAGTTTTAGTTTGCTCATGCAAATTTTTTGCCTCACGGGAAGAACCAGAGGCTGTCTAGTAGTTCTTTGCTAAAAACTGCTTTGTTATTGTTTATCGAGTAAATATATTTTTTTAATTTGTATATTCATTTCAGGTTTCTTGATTTCGGTCTACTTTGCCAGATGGAGAAGAAACACCAGTTGGCTATGCTTGCATCCATAATACATATTGTAAATGGAGACTGGGAATCTCTTGTTAATGACTTGACTTTAATGGACGTTGTCGGGCCAGGGACTAATCTCCGTCGTGTGACTCTGGTATCTCAACTTGACCAAGAGTCTCTATCCTTATTTCCTGCAAGTATTTAAATTCTGTCTGATACGCTATTGGATCACACCCAGATCTAGTCGCATCCACCACAAGGAAAATCATAGTTGTTAGGTCTTCCATTAGTAAAAATCATGCATCTCTGTGGCATTTGAGGTTCAAGTTTTCCTGAACTTTTATTTTTCTATGGTAGCATCTCTGGCAGTCCCTGCTCTGTATAAAATATTATAAGGATTAGATGAACTACAAAAGAAGGCATTTTCTGTTGGTAACTACTGTAGATATTTAATGTGCTCATTCATGTTACCTTATGATAGAAGTAGTATGAACATCCATAACTGCGTCTGATAGAAGAACTATCAACACCCATAACTGCGTCTGATTGTGCCTATGTTACTGGTTGAACTTAAAAGGATGCAAAGGCAAGGAGAACACATAAATGATTAAGGCGAAATGTAGGAAACTCATAATACTTATCAATTCCAAGTCTTTAGTACTGTGTTGTTATTATCTATTCATAGAAACTACCAGTTAGATACTATTGGTGTATATGCTCCTTGTACGTACAGCGTACTGCATATACTATGTTTCGTACCCTTCCTGAAGTACAGGGTGCATACTGTTACTGTACTTGCCACAATT